AATTTCTCTATTTCAGCTTGCTTTTCTGTAAAGTGGGGATAATGATAGTTCCTACCCTACACGGGAGTGAGGATTAAATGTGTTAATGTATGTAAAGCATTTAGACTTGTAAGTGGGAAGTGTCTGCTGAGCTCCAGCTATTAATACTTTGCCCCAAAACAGCAGTGCTCTCTGGCTCTGGACCCAGCAATGGCTTCAATGCCTAAATATAAGATACAATTTCAAGATAATGTGGGAGAAGCATAGGAATAGAACTTAGGGAAGCAAGAAGGGTCTCAATCTCAGGCCTGACCAGTTTTGGCAAGTCATGGTACTTCTTTGGGCCTTATTTTCACTTTTGTCACAAGTTAGGGTTAGGTTAGATAGAGTCCTCCAGGCCCGAAACCCAGGATTTTAGGGACCCATGAAAGTGATTCTGGAGATTCTCCAGCTCTGCTGAATGTTCCAAACCTATAGGAAATCATTTAAGTATTTAAAAGTGATGAGCTTGATCACACTAACCAAATGTCAAGTTTCTCAATTTAGAGAAATTAACTCCATGCAAAAACACTATTTACTTAATACTAACTGGTGATTTTTGTTGGCAGTTACTTATCCTTACAGAATAAAAATAAAACTAAATCATCTTTTTACTTAAAAATCTTGTTTCTTAAGTAGGTATTTCTTTTTCCCAAAGCAGGTGAGAAGATACTAAAAAGTAACTTGAAAACCTGAGACTCTCAATGGACTAGATGGTCTCTAAAGTCCTTTTTGGCTCTAATGCTCACAAGATTACAGAAAATTTCTCTAAGGCAATCAATTATAACAATTTATTTCACATTTAATTTTACTCTGTCGCCTCAGGAGGAAAATGTCTCACTCTAAAGTTTCAGGGGAAAAAAACATAGAATATCCAGATGAGGGTTCTAAAGAGTAAAGCTTACAAAAGGGGTAATTTAAAAAGCTGGGAATGCCAGGAGAGGAGGAAGAAATGAATTTTATGTTTTTGAGAAACAACAAGAAAGTCAAATGACCTGGAGTAGAAATGACAATAGACCGTGGGAATAATCATAGGCCCTTCCGTTCATCTGGATGTAAATTTAGAGTCACTGTGTATTCCCAGAAGGCTAAGAACTGTGGAGGGAGGACCGGCTGCTGATACTTATCAGCCCCATCAGTTTTAGGAATCAGTGTAGGCGCCAGGTTCATGCATAGTCAGGGCGTGGAAACTCAGCAACAAGTTTTCTCTGTTTTCAGAAGTCACTCACTTTGTTGGGTATTCAGGGCAGAACTGTTCTCAGTCAGGTAAGACTGGGATACAAAGCTGTCACAGCCCCTGGAAGCAGAGCAGTGGGGAGGATGGGCAAGAATGGAGGCGAGTGGGACAGAGTGTTACATTCTTCAAAGAACACAGGGTATTTGTGGATAGGGGACCAATAATAATAATGCCTGGAGAAGGACCTTTGAAAACTAAGTCCTGAATAAATGAGTTCTCTCATTTGGGCTTTATGATAAAACTGTACATTAGATGTTCTTTTTATCCCCATTTTACAACCCCGTGGAAATAAAGACCAACCAAATGAGAAAAAGAAAGGCTATTTATTCAGAGCTTCCCATAGCCAGGATGTTAGTCACCGTCACGGGCATTTGGAGAAGACTCACAAGCAAGATAAGTGGGAGAGCTTTGTAACAAGATAAAGGGGAGGCCTCAGGTGTGCCCTGATTGGAGGCTGTTCATGTGTGAAAGCTGTAGGCAGACAAACTAGAAGTACACATCCCTATGTGATTGGTTAGGGGTACATATTTGGCTTTCTCTGGTTGGTTCCAAGTTGGAAGCAGAGACAAAAATTAGGAAAGCTATGAGGTATTAATCAAGTCCAGACTATTTGGGGCCTATTGTTTCAGGGGTTATTGTTTGGCTTCCTGGATTGTTACTACAGATAGTGGTCTGACTTCCTATAAGTTTAACTTAGGCAGGCTTCCTGGGCTGGTTACTATACATTAATGGGTTGGTTTCCAAGGCTGGTTGCTATAGGTTGTGGGTCAAAGTTCTATTTTTATTAATTTATTTTTAATTTCTTTTTAGGGTTAAAGTATAGTTGAAACCCGATGTTATCTTAGTTTCAAGTGTATCAAAGTTCTCTCTCTCTCTCTCTCTCTCTCTCTATATATATATATATGGCTGGCCATTGTCTATTTGTATATTGTTTTCCAATCCTTAGGTATGGGTCTGTACAAAAGAATGTTGGCCAAATAATTACCAACATTAACTTTCACAGCCCTAGTGAGGAACTGGGGTGGCTTCCATGCTGTATCTGGTACGTCAAAATGCCTAAGCAAATGATGTATTCACCTATGAAAGGTACACACACCTTAATAAAAGCAACAACCATCTCTTTCAAAAAGTAAGTTCATTATGGGGGCGCCTGGGTGGCTCAGTCAGTTAAGTGTCCAACTCTTGATTTCAGCTCAGGTCATGATCTCAGAGTCATGAGATTGAGCCCTGTGTCGGGCTCTGCACTCAGAACAGAGTCTGCTTGAGATTGTCTCTCTCCCTCTCTAAATAAATAAACAAAACCTTTAAAAAATTTTTTAAAGTAAGTTCATTATCTTTTCCTGCTTACTGATTTATCCTTATACTATGATTATAGAAAGCTATAGAAAATGATTTAATAAATAAATTTCAAGGATACACAGATTCCAGGATACACCAGAAGCAAAAGTTCTCAAAGGGCTCTTTGGTAAAGAATCTTTGCAAATACTTCTTGCTCTAAAAATCCAAACATCTTCTCCTCCATAAACTGTCCCCAGTGCCACTGTCAGAACCGGAGCCTGAGTGGGGTAAATCATGGGTCTGACCAGAATGGCCAAGACCATGTCCTCAAGTCACACCAGTGTGAGTCTCAGTGCCCCCTTTCTGTCTGCCCAGCAAGCCCTCCCTAGGAGTTCTGACATAAATAAGTACAATACTCATGATTAGAGCTTGAGTAGATTGAAAATATAATCTGTGTTCAAAGAGCTAATTGTCAACTGTCTATGAACCCTATTGTTTTTGACTGTTACGATAAGACATGAAATGGCTACTGAATGAAGGGACACAGGCATCATTGCTGGATGATTTCAGGAACTAATTCTCTTCTCTCTTCTAATAGAAACCTAATGGAAAGCAGGACTCTGCTATAGCTACAGGATTCTGAAGTTACATAAAAGCTGGCTCAGGCCAACTCTCCTGGGGCTTAGTAAGTTCTTTTGATAGGAATGCAACCAAGAATGCACCTGTCTGCTCCCTCACTCCCACCTCCACCAACTGGTACAATCCATTCAAGCCCAAAGACCCCCAGCTCAAATGCCAACTCTCAGTAACACCATCCCTGAGTGACTCGTCCTGGCATGGGTCAACTTGCCCTTTGTCTCCATAGGGCTTTGTGCAGAATGTTAAATAAACACCTACACCGTGGGATTATAGCTATTTTTTTATACAATATTTATGTCCCTCACTCGACTCTGAGTTTCTTTAAGGCAAGTCTGTGCCTTATTGATCTTTCCTCAGTATTTGGCATGTAACAGTGCACAGGGTTTTTGATCAGTGCTCCTCTCCCTGTCTTTTCTAATTCTGAAATTATGTTGGCTTTATAACTGTGAGCAAGTCACTTAACCTATCTGAATCTTCACCCCACATAATTCTCAGGAGCATGTGGAAGTGTTTTTAATGAAAGTACTACTTTGCATTTGCAGTCACTGGCTATATTTCCGAGGATTTCAAACGCCTTCTCTTTCATAGTATCTGCTTCTGCTTTTCCTTCACAAAACCCAGTAAGGAAAGTGTGATTATGATAGCCTCATTGAGGAAACAGGTTCAGAGAGATCAATTATTTGCCAAAGGTCATAAGACTAAGAGATGACAGAACTAGTCTCAGTCCCACTTCTTAGCGGCTTGAAAAGGTTTCGTGACATCTTTTGCCTCTAATATGCTCTTAAAGCTGCCTCACCACAGCAGTCAAGACAACTCCACAGTGTTCCAGATTAGTCTGTGTATGAACAGCTCATTTTGTGATGTAAGAGTTGTGCTTGGAATTCATTAATACCAGCCCTGATGCTCACTACCTGTGATCATAAGCAGTTCTCTTGTTCTCTCTTTTTCTCCTGTGAAGAATACACAAGCACAATTCTGGTCAAGTTTCTTCAGTGATCATGTATTAATTTTTAATAAGAAAAGAAGACCGGCATCTATCCGGCATCAGAAGGAGAAAGGGATCACAAGCACAAGCGAGAGCATAGGGTATAAATCCTATGCCTGCAGCCTCCTCAGAACTCAAAGGACAAGTGATTTCTGTCTAATCTGCAGTGTTTATTGCAGAGGACCTCCGCAATGGATGGATATGAATATTCCACTCATTAGGAAAAGAAACCCCTGCTGGGAGGAAGGAATATTTATCAGTCCCTGCCTTGGCCTGGCTGAAGTAAACCCTTTGCTTTGACTTTACATCCTCAAAGCAACTTCCTCATTGTCATTTTCTTCCCAAGTGAATGTTCCATCAGGGAGAGGAGCACTGATCAAAAACCCTGAGTATTTTTATTTGCAAGATGTGCACAGTCTTTATTATAAATGAATAAACTGGCATTCAGTTTTATACACCAAAGGAAAAATAAAATATGTAAACAGCAAAGTATCTGATATTCCTGACATGGTTTCTCCTTATGCTGTCTTTCCTACTCTTTTTCTTCTGATGGCTCCTACCTCCCCTCACCCAGTTGCTCTCTGTCCCCTCTGTACATTCTTTCTCTGCTCTGCTCTGGCACAGAATCATCATGCAGTCCCCCAACACCATACTGGCACATTTAGGTAGGAAAAAGGAAAAAGACTTGCTTACATGTAATATTTTCTGTAGTATTTAATGAGAACTATTTCTACTCCCTTAGCATTCCTGCTAAGGTGGACAAGACTTTACTTCTTAGGCCTACAAAGTTCTTAGCAAACTGAACAGGTCATCTAAGGATATCAAATGGTGCCAGATACTCACATTTTCTGACCGGAGCCTCTTGGCAGGACACCCACCATCCCTGGGGTGAAGCATGTAATACAGTCGGACTTTGCTTGCATGTTTTCGACTCTGGGAAGGAAAAGCAGAAGCAGATACTATGAAAGAGAAGGCATTTGAAATCCTCGGAAATATAGCCAGTGACTGAAAATGCAAAGTAGTACTTTCATGAAAAACACTTCCACATGCTCCTGAGAATTATGTGGGGTGAAGATTCAGATAGGTTAAGTGACTTGCCCACAGTTATAAAGCCAACATAATTTCAGAATTAGAAAAGATAGGGAAAGAAGAAAGGTAAAAACATTGGGATGTTTAAGCCTGGAATGAATAATATATTTAATTGTCCTCAAAATAAGAACAGGTCAGAGAGAGAATAATACAAGGATCGGCTGTGATGGAAGGCTAGGTGCCCTGCCTTGTCTCATATTCCCACTGCCTTGCCCTAAGGAGCTGGGGACAGACAATGCCCCCTGGGAGTTGGCATGCATAGCATCTCCAACAGAAGTCCCTTCGTCTGGTTCTCCCATGTTGGAGCCTCATTATAGGCTATCAAAAGAGATTTTCCAGAGTCAGATATCATGAGCAAACAAAAGATATCAAATGCAAGTTTGAGGACTGCTTAGAGCCCAAACTTCATGCAAGCAGGCAGAGCAGTTAAACAATAAACACCCCCTGCCCACAGGATTAGCAGGACTCTGGGTTTCTGCCTGTATTGAAGGGTCCGTGCCCAGCGTGGAGAAATTGATCGCATCCTAGTTCCATCTTTCCTCTATTCCTTTGCTCAACTGAGAGCCCACCTGAACTTCCCTCCCCTTTAAAGAACACTGCAGTTCTAACTTCTGAGTTGCTACCTGAAGATGGCTGAGTGAAAAGAGCTCAAACAGTCACAAGTTCAGAACCCAAGCGCAGCTCTGCTGCTCTCTGGCTGGGTGATACTGAGCAAGTCAGTCTAATTCATTTATAGCTAAAATGAGTCTCATTTTCTCTGTGTACAAAATGAACATAATATTTATTAGGGTTGCCGTGAGAATCAAATGAGGCAGTGCATATGAAAAACTGCAATCCACATAATGCTTAATGTGTCACCAGCGAGGGCACCAATCCTGAACTCTGAATCTATAGTGCTAGGATGTGAATTCACCTTGAACCCATCATTACCTAATTCTGATCCCCTAAACCCTTCCTTTGCTCAGGGCTTATTTCCTTCTTCTCTGGACTTTGGTTCCACTTTGCCTTTATTTACAGTTGGGGACCAGCCAATCTCCTGTGTGATGGCTTGCCTTCATGGATTAGCCACAAAGGCAAAGTGATTTTCAGAGAAAACACAGCAAATTGCAACTTGTTTACAGGATATGATGTAAATCCCTCCGCCTGGTTTTCCTTCTTTATCACTTTTTTCATTCCTTCATTGTGCTTCTAAAAAACATGCTTCTAAACAGTCCTTGAACACTTTCAAGGCCTTTAAATGGGTTTAAAAGTGCTAATGGGACATCAAAGATATTACTGATGTAAAAGTACTGAAGTGTGATTTTTTTTTAAGATTTTTATTTATTTATTTATTTGACAGAGAGAGACACAGCGAGAGAGAGGGAACGTAAGCAGGGAGAGGGGGAGAGGGAGAAGCAGGCTCCCCGCTGAGCAAGGAGCCCGATGTGGGACTCGATCCCAGGACCCTGGGATCATGACCTGAGCCGAAGGCAGACGCTTAATGACTGAGCCACCCAGGCGCCCCTGAAGTGTGATTTTGAAATATATTTGTAGCCATTTCTAGGTTGCATTGTAAGTTGTAATCAAGGGTTACCTGGAGTCCTGTTTGCCTGCGAGATTGGTAGGATGTGAAATAGAGACCTATGTGGACTTGTGCCAGATCATTTCAACAGCACTGTTCAGCTTCTTCATGCTTTTGAGAATGATGCAGTGCAGAGTAGTATAGGTTTTTTGGCAAAGAAATACGTTGATTACTAAAATCTGTACACATTTTCTAGTTTTGTTGGTTTTTTGGAAGCAAGGGGTAGTGGAAAAGTTAAGATACAGCTCCAGTCAAAAAAAAAGAAAAAAGAACATTTAAAAACCTATAGGATGCTGACTGTGGCCACAGAGACTGGACTGGGGAAAAGCACAATAGACAGGTAATTAGTGAAAAGACAAAGCAATACCAGTGCGAACTCAAATGTGGCTGAAGTGGGCTTTCAGTGTTGTATTTGTTACTGTAGAAGAATGGATCACAGTACCTAACACCATCAATCTGCTCAAAGTCATGGCAAAATTGGAAATCTCATAATGTGGCCTGTTTTGTGGTTGGATTTCTTCTCTTTGCTAAAATACTACATTTCTTTCAAAAAGACTCTTTCCAGCAAAGGCAGAGTTCACTGGGTTATTTAATTGCAGTTGGATAAAACTAGTAAGAAACCATTAGCTGAAAAGAAAAGGGAAGTATATGGTAAGCTCTGCTGTGAACCTATTAGTGATGAGAGATGCTTGGATCGGTGCCTTATTAGCGATTTACCCTCCAGGTTCTGCCTTTGCCCCTGTGTATGGGTGAAGAAAAACAGAGTTTTGGAAAATCCCACCTCCTTCTGGAACGATGGTGGAGGCATTCTAGTTCATCATTTAGCTGCTTCCCTAGTGCCTCTGTCTTCCTGCTGCTTTTCCCAGGCTGCCAGAGGTGGACCCAATGCCTTCCCCGCCCACAAGCCCACCCTGACTTAGGGCAGGATGTAAAAACCCAGAAGACAGTCCACTTCTCAGTGATGTGACTGTGGAGTCACACCTATCCAGTGAGACTGATTGAAACCCAAAGCCACTTCCAAATGATGTCGGTTGACAAGGACAAAGAGGTTGCTAGGAGATTGCTCCCAGGTGCCCTACAACTCACCCGCCTCGGCCCCCCCTGGGGCCGTCAACATCTGGGTGCAGCTCGTCTAGTGAGTCCTCTCCTTTCTTCCTGGCATTCTCACCTCTCCCTCAAGGCGGGACACACTGAGTCACCCACAGCATCTTCCTCCAACGGGCTCCTCTCAACCCCTTACCTACAAGAAATTGCTTGAAATTTGGCATGGTAACCTCACTCCTTCCAATTTATTCTAGAAACAAACAAACAAAAAACAAAAACCTTCCCACAAAAAGTTAAACTTAGATTTGAGCAAACACGCTCATTGCAGCATGACCTAACTAGGAACAGCAAATCGGGGAGGCAGTTACATGTTGGACAAGAGGCTGGTTAAAGCAGCCACTGGATGCCCTTATGTTCAGTTGGAAATTGAAAAAGTGCTTTCTATATAATGCATGTTGAATGAAAAATGCTAAAACAAAAGTTGCTTGTATACTGCGATTAAGATTATATAAATATTTGTAAGTATATCAATAAGAAGTGGAAAGGAAAAAGAAAAACAAGCATGTTTTATTAAGGTAGGGAAAGAATGGATGATTTTCATTCTTTATTTCTACAACAAATTTTCCCTTACCATAAAAGTAATAACTTCACAATGCTCAAGACATTGTAATTCCTCAATAAGTCTACTCTCTACTCATAACAATTGTGATTAGTAAAAAGCACACTGATCTGGAATGCTCTTATACTCATACGTTCATATACTGATATAATTGACCACATTTCCATCTACCCTTGTTAATGTCTTATCAACATTCAAAATGCATTATGTTTTTTTCACTGCAATACTTGGTGATTAGATAAGCCTACTTAAGCCAAGAGCAATACACATTACTTTAACTTTTAAAACTTTATTTTGGTACATACAAATGCCATGCTAAATATGTGTCCTCTTCACAATGTGGTCATTCCACTTCCTGTATATAAATGAAGATTATAGGCACAGTGGATAAATGCCATCCAGACAACCAAACTGGAAGGAAAGCCACTTCTGAAATGCATTTATGTCATCCAAATAAATATGAACAACAAAAACAAATCCTTAGGATTTTTTCAAAGATTTATCAATACCTAAAATATGCACTTGCTTTTAAGAGTTTAAAAAGACAAATTGCCAACTGAAAGGAAATGTAAGGAGAAAAAGTGCCTTTCATGTTAAATGTATATATTACAGAGTTTCAGGAAAGAAAAGGGCCATTTCTTTAAGGGAAAAGCCATGAAAAAGAAATTACAATCTCTCGTTTGCACCGAAAGTCAGTCCCTGGCTCACACATTAATATTTGCATTTTAAGCAAAAGTCATTACTTTCATTCAAACCACATCAACTTTAAGCTTCTCAGATAGGCCAGAAATTACCAACTCTTCCATTTTAATTAAAGCCTTTGCCCCTGATGCTGGGCATTGTGCGGGGGGCAGACCTATCTGCAGATTAGTTTCTTTGGCTGAAACAATCTTCTGGCACTCAAAGAAATCGTCTAAAGAGGAAATTCAGGCCAGCCTTCTCTTTGGGGGGATAAAGAACAAGACAAACCTCTATTTCAGATGTATTGTGTGAAAGAAGGGGGTGGACCACATCGAAATAGAATGGCTTTGTGCTTCACCTAAATAGCCATCTTCCATTATCACATACCCTTTAAAAATTCACAACTCAAATTTGCTTCCAACAAGGCTACTGATTTCTGGTCTCATAAAATGTGAAGATAACAAAGTAACTTAGTATTTGCATAATGCTCCAAACAGCGTTCAAACCCCTTTGACATTTACCATCTCATTTTATCCTCAAGTCACAGTTGTGAGGTTGGCAGGAGAAGTGTTATTTCAAATCAGCTTTAAGATCCATCCCTGATTTCCTAATTAAGTAAGTGTTCACCATTTTATTTCATCTTAGGTATCTAACTATACGTCTTCCAGAAACTAGCTTAAATAAGCCAAAGACTATAAGAAAAAGGGAAAACCTGAAACAGACTGATAATTACAGAAGAGTGATTCTCACATGCCACCAATTTTGAGCTGTTTCTACTCATTCTAGGGTAAAGAAGAGCTGATTAAGGGAAGGACAACAAATACCAAGGGTCTAACTCCCCAGCTACCTGAGAATGATTGGCGTATGTGAGATGGGGGCTCCACCTCTCGGGAAGAAGAAGGCACCTTGGCACAACCCCACTTAACACTTCCAGGTTGA